TAGTATCATTTGTCTATGAAATTGTTATAAGTACACCTCTGCATAACACTGTATCCTTATTAACGTATAAGAGAATAAAAAAAGAAAGAAATGTGGATCAATTTACAACAAAGAATTAGCTTTATTAACTGTAGCAGAAAAGATTTAAAGTGCATTAGAAATTCAAAAAAAAATTAAAATCCTTAATTAAACTATAAACATTTTTTGATTGGACATGTCAAACCATATGATACTGAAAAAATACATAAAATCAATACATAATAATGAATTCAAACCGATCACCAACATTTACTTAGGACCTAATCATTGGCGCCCCCATCATTGGTGTCAGTGGGAGGAATAGTGCCTCATTATTGGTGTCAGTGGGATGAATAGTGTCCCAACATTGGTGTCAGTGGGAGGAATAGCGCCCATCATTGGTGTCAGTGGGAGGAATAGCACCGACCCCATCATTGGTGTCAGTGGGAGGAATAGTACCCTGTCAGTGGGGAGAGGAATAGTGCCCCATCGTTGGTGTCAGTGGGGGGGAGGAATAGTGCCCCATCGTTGGTGTCAGTGGGAGGAATAGTGCCCCATTGTTGGTGTCAGTGGGAGGTATAATGCGCCATCATTAGTATCAGTGACACCAATGATGCGGCACTATTCCTCCCACTGACACCAATGACACTTGCTGACCCCTGTTGCAGTATGGTGCTGCTGCAGCCAGCATATGTGGTTGCAGCAGCACCTCTGCACTGCACACTTACCGGCTTTTCCCTCACTAGATTTTCGCGGGTCCGCTCGGCTCCGCCTCCTCGCCCGTGATTGGCCGCCTGTGTACCTTTCCTGAGCTACAGTTCTGGCGGCCAATCACCGGTGAGGAGGCGGAGCCGAGCTGCAGGAGTGAGGGAGTGGCCGGAGTGACGGAAGGAGCAGCGCTTCCTGGATGGATCATCGTGGGAGCCAGGTAAGAGACAGCAGCCCTCTGCCCACCCCTGTACTTAGTGTCCCTTCTGTCGGAAGGGGGGGGACGGCGGTGGCACCGCGCCGCCCCCCTAAAAAGTTCCACCCTAACGTATACCGGCGTATAAGACGACCCCGACTTTTGAGAAGATTTTCAAGGGTCAAAAAGTCGTCTTATACGCCGGAAAATACGGTATGTTCCCCGAGGCGCGCCCCACTATTTGAGAAGCACTGCTTTACAGGGATAAGACCAGCATGGAGCGGCGGATGGGATCAGAGCACCGCCAAAAGAGCAACGGAGGAAACTTGGCATAATAAAAACAGTTTGGACACAATAATAACAACAGTGTTGGAATTGCAACTACCTTTTAGAAATTTGCAGGCCCCATGACGCTTGATACTCTTAGTTCAAGTTTACAAGGCTGGCATAGTGTAAGAAATTTGATCTGCTTGACCGGCTTTCCCAGACTCTTTCCAGAAATCAGCCCAAAAGAGTATTAAAAAATGAAGGTGCAAACCAAAAACGCTGCCCCTATTGTAGTAAGGCACACTAATGATTACATTTAAAGGATGAGGCCCCATGCACACAGGACGAAAAAAAAAAAAACTCTCCTAAAAGCTGTCCTGGCAGCAGCGTTTTTGCAGAAAAAACACCTGACGTTTTTAAAAAAGCATCTAACACTTTTACAAGCGTTTTGTTGCCTTTACCAGCCGCAAGTGCTTGGACGTTATTTCATTTCATTCAGTTAAATGGCCAGAATGAATTGTGATTCTGGCCATTTAACTGAATTAACATTAAGCACCAAATGTGCCTAGTGTTTAGATGCGTCAAGTGTTTTTTTTTCTGCCAAAACGCTGCAGCTCCTGGATGCGCACTGGTCCTGTGTTTTCTCCTGCTAGTAAACGAATTGCTACTAAAATGGGTAAGAACCTCCCACACTGCCACTAAAACCATAACCACACTAAACTGAAACCCTCAACAAAAAAGCAGCTAGCACCCAACCAAATCGTAAGAGTTCATGGAGGGGGGTAAGGAGGGGGGGTGGGTTTGTGCTGCGCTAATCAAATGGGATCTTGTGAGAGGCAGTCCAGTGCTATTTTTTCCTTGAGGGGGATACCACCACTGTTGCTGATGGCTAACGGTTCTTGGATTTATGCGCAAGGCCCCCATAGGATGGTAATCCTCTGACATTGAGCGCCTTTGAAGTGTGTTGGCCCTTAGGGGTCGCAGCGCAGAGGTGAGGAGGCAATTTAGCCAGTGGAGGATTTTTGTCAAGCTGATCACTCTCACTCTCAAATTTACCTGGGAATTTATTATCGGACTTTACACGCATTAGCTGATTGTGGACTTTTACACCTCTTTTTTGTGTTTATACACATTGTTGTGTTATTTATAGTGATTTGTTTGTTCTTTGGGTTCACCTGTTCACTCATTATTCATTTCTGAAATTCATGTCATCCATATTTATTTATTTTTGAATATTCGCAGTCGCACATCACTATTGGTTCTTGTTGACCCATGTGCTGTTTTTCACCATACGGGTTTATTTATACAGTTGCAAGAAAAAAGTATGTGAACCCCTTGGGATTACGTGGAGTTTTGCATGAATTGGGCATAAAATGTGATCTGAACATCTTCTTCTAAGTCACAACAATAGAAGGACACAGTCTGCTGAACATAAATACTATACAAACATTAGATGTTGCCATGGTTTAATTGCACATAACATGTAAACATTCATAGTGCAGGGAGGAAAAAGTATGTGAGGCCCTAGCTTAATGACTTCTCCCAGAGCTAATTGGAGCCAGGAGTGAGCCAACCTTGACTCCAATCAGTGTGATGATATTGGATGTGTTGCTGACAGCTGTCCTGCCCTTAAAAAAACACACACCTGTTTTGGGTTTACTGGTTTCAAGAAGCACTGTCTGATGTGAACCATGCCTCGCAGAAAAGAGCTCTCAGAAGACCTACGATCAAGAATTGTTGACTTGCATGAAACTGGAAAGGGTTACAAAAGTATCTCCAAAAGCCTTGATGTTCATGTGTCCACGGTAAGACAGACTGTCTGTCTACAAATGGAGAAAGTTTAGCACTGTTGCTACTCTCCCTAGGCAAGGTCGTCCTGTAAAAATGACTGCAAGAGCACAGCGCAGAATGCTGCATGAGGTAAAGAAGAATCCCAGAGTGTCAGCTAAAGACCTACAGAAATCTCTGGCACATGCTAACATTTTTGTTGACACATCTACAATATGGAAAACATTAAACAAGAATGGAGTACATGGGAGGACACCACGGAGGAAGCCATTGCTGTCCAAAAAGAATATTGCAGCACATTTGAAGTTTGCAAAAGAGCACCTGGATGTTCCACAGCACTACTGGCAAAATATACTGTGGACAGATGAAACCAAGATTGAGTTGTTTGGGAAGAACACACAAACACTATGTGTGGAGAAAAAAAGACACAGCACACCAACATTAAAACCTCATCCCCACTGTAAAACATGGCGGAGGGAGCATCATGGTTTGGGGCTGCTTTGCTGCCTCAGGGCCTGGACGGATTGTTGTCATTGATGGGAAAAAGAATTCCGGAGTTTCAAGACATTTTGCAGGAAAACGTACGACCATCTGTCCGCCAACTGAAGCTCCGCAGAGGATGGGTGATGAAACAGGACAATGACCCAAAGCATACAAGTAATTCAACAAAACAATGGCTGCAACAGCACAGAATACGCCTCCTGGAGTTGCCCAGTCAGAGTCCTGACCTCAACCCAATTGAAATGCTGTGGCATGACCTTAAGAGAGCGATTCACACCAGACATCCCAAGAATATTGCTACACTGAAACAGTTTTGTGAAGAGGAGTGGTCCAAAATGACTCCAGATCGTTGTGCAGGTCTGATCTGCAACTACAGGAAACGTTTGGTTGAGGTTATTGCTGCCAAAGGAGGGTCAACCAGTTATTAAGTCCAAAGGTTCACATACTTTTTCCTCCCTGCACTGTGAATGTTTACATGTTATGTGCAATAGATTATGTTCAGCAGACTGTGTTCTTCTATTGTTGTGACTTAGATGACGTTCAGAGCACATTTTTATGCCCAATTCCTGCAAAACTCCACGTAATCCCAAGGGGTTCACATACTTTTTCTTGCAACTGTGTGTATATATATATATATATATATATATATATATATATATATATTATATATATATACAATTCATTTTTATTCCATATATTCACTTATATTCCATTGACTCAATTTTTTTGTTTTAGTTCACCTATAGTAGAACCATAACAATGGCAAAAAGTATACAAGCACTAGGTTAGTGCAGGAAAAAGCAGCTGACATAAAGGCAAAACCTGTTAACCTTCAAAGCATGAACAGATATATTTGCGCTGTGAGGCGATGAAGTGAAATTCAAGTGCAATAAACGTCTGCGGACGTTATATTGTGCAGGTGATGAACTTCAATAATAAAGTGTTACAAATAAGCGCATAAGTCCCAAACTCCATACAGAAGTGCAAAACGTGACTCCAGTGATGTGCATTTGAGTATTTAAACCACTCCTTGTCTTCTGGGTATAGAAAGATGAACATCCACAGATCAACTGGCCAACCAGCAGAAAGACAGGTAATTGTAGGGTCATCAGCCTCCAGGGATCAGGAATCACTCAGCCATCCCACCAGGGGGATCACACACCAGGTATCATGTATAACCACCAGGGGGGCCTCTCTCAATGGCAGGTGCAGAGCAGTAAAAGAATCCACCTTAAGGGGGGGCTCGCAATCAAACGAGCCCAAACAGAAATTTCTGATTGTGTAGTATTTTATTAATGAAAAAGGGTTGCCATGCAAAAGCAGATGCAGTAGATTGCAGTGTAAATACAGCAATAAAGATGGCCGCCAGCCTGACACGTGGCCCGAGCGGCGGCGTGACGTCACACCCTGGTTCCTTCCTAACACGTTTCGTTCATTTCTGACATGTCGTCCATATTTATTTATTTTTGAATATTCACAGTCACACATCACTATTGGTTCTTGTTGACCCATGTGCTGGTCTTCACCATACCGGTTTATATATATATATATATATATATATATATATATATATATATATATTTATATATATATAGATAATATATATATATATAGATATAGATAGATAGATATATATATATATACATTTTTTCACTATTTCACTTATATTCCATTGACTCGATTTTTTGTTTTAGTTCAACTATAGTACAACCATAGCACATCACTTTATCCACCACCTTCAGTTGAGGATGTATTCTCTGTTGTTATGTTGCTTTATATACGAGAGTGCACCTGTGTTGTTTATGCTGTGGTTTCACATTTATTATTGATTTGGTGGGTATCCACCTTTTTTTCCCTCTCTTTTTTTTTTTTTGCTACTGCTATTAAAGCTTCTAAAAGTCTGTGTGCATGGACACATAGGATAACATGGAGGGCCATTTGGAAGCAGTAACAAAAAACACCTGACGCCCCTAAAAGTGGCTGCAAAAACACCCTGTGTGCATGAGGCCTTAGTGCTCTTCTAAAGATCTGTACTTATCCTGTTTGCCCCTTTAAGGTAATCTATTCTGTACTACTCCAGAGATGCATACTTTTTCTA